AGATGTTATGACGTAGGCATCCGCTAAGAAAGGATTTTGATCAATTCTACCCCCGAGGGGATAAAATAGGGAATGAAAGTTTGTATGAAACTTTGTCAATTTTAAACCGATCGGGCTGAGCCTTTGCATGCAGGTATAAGTAGAATCATAGATGAATGTCATTGTGTATAATACAAGCCTGAGAACAAAAACTGTAGTCTACACTTCAGCTCTACACCGAAGCGAAGCGAGGGCGGGCCGCTAGTGCATATATTATCATATGAATCAGGTTTTATTCCGCGTCCATCTGTTTATGTGCCGTGAAGATTGAGTTTTTTATTGGCGCTTAAGCAACTCAACTTTTTGAATGTTTTTACTGTTCACAATGCTAAAGCGACATAAATTTTGGTGTTTTTTGAACCAATGGCGCTTAATATTTGGCGTATGATTAGATGTTTGCTTTACAAAAAATGTATGACGGGCCGAATGATTTTCGCTGAAGCAACAAGCGACATCTAATTCGTAAAGGCACTATTTCACTTTTAAATGGGAGGATATTAAGAAAATATTATTTTATGTATATGTTTTTATTTTTATGGCGCTATTTATTTTATTTACAATGAGTTTTTTTTAGTGAAAAAAAAAACTAAGTAGAATAGTAAGCTTTACATTTTCAGTATGTACGAGTTTCTACAAAGTTACTAAAGTGGCATTTAAGTAATTTTGCTTTTCGACTGTCGATATACTGAAAATACAAAATATGTATAGCATCTTAGTTTTAGTAGGAATCTTAATTTCTACTCGGATAGGTATACCACATATATACGTACGCTAATAAGTATACAGATATAATGTTATAGGTATATAGTCATGTAAAAATATTCTCTCCTTGTACAAACCCCCTAATATTAAAATTCTCACATTCATTGACACTTTGAATTGGTACTGTTACAATTACAAACATGGGTATCTACACATTTAAGTAAGTGTTTTTTAAGAAAAGATGATAAATTCGACGCGGACCAGGCAGCAGACCGGACTCGAACCCGCACCCTTCGCTGTCCGGGCGAACACACTGACCATTATGTTACCGCTGCCCTGACGGCGGTGTGAAATTTTCTCTAGTCTTAGGCTGCAAGGCAGCGCCATCTCTTCGCATTGTAAGTAACCCACAATGGTGCGGGTTCGAGTCCCGTCTGCTGCCTGGTCAGCGTGGATTTTTTCTAGTAATATTTTCTTTAGATTTAGACATCTAGCAGTTCAATGTTTAAAAAATCCATAAATATGAAGATGATAAATTATTGAAAAATCGTTGTGCATTCATGAAACATATATTACGTACCTAGGAAATAGGTAAAGTCTAGTTCTTTGATTTGGGACCCGCCTAAGGTAGAATATCGGACAGTATAAAGACACCGTAAGAATTAATATTTTGATCAAAGACATTGCAATGACACTACAGACAATAGCTCAGTGTATGCACCAACCGCAGGCAGCAGACGGGACTTGAATCAGCACCTGGTCCGCGTGGAATTTTTTCTAGTAATATTTTCTTTAGATTTAAACATCGAGCAGTTACATGCTAAAAATAAAAATTATTATAAATACACTGACATAAAGTTCATAACGAAAAAAAGCAAAATTTAACCCTTAGCAAGGAGGTTAACATTCAGTAAATATATCATAAACTTAAAAAAAAACTTTTTTAATGACGTTTTATGACGTTTCGACGCTTTAATTATCTGGAGATTCGACATTATTGCAGTGCTAATGTTCAAATGATATTTCGAGGGAATGGGTCCCAAATCATATGACTTGACTGTACAAAAAAAAAATAGAAGTTATCGGTTATCTTTGTCCTCCTGTCAGTTAGTGACAAAATGAGACTTGGGCGTGTTTTTTCATTACTAACACAGTTGAATACTTAAATAGTTACAATCACATTCTGTAACGGTACACTGGCCGCGTAAGGCCGACTACTGACATACCTGCCGCAGGGCCAATCTAGGGCGCACGGTGGTTGGGGCAATATAGGCTTGTCTCTACACACATACCTGCTATTCAGTGTTCAGGTATTTATTTATCAAGCTAAACACACGCGTTGATAAAATTATCCCAGTATTATCAACCAGTTGAAAGATCGGTAGGTGGCCTTAGCTCTTTCTATGGTGTTAGCGAAAAAAAGGAAATACTGGCTGAAGAATTGTAATGCAAATAAATAATATTTGTGTTTTTATCCCACATGTAGGGCAGGGGACCATTTGCCTAACGGGATTGCTTTGAAAACGCTATCGCTTATGATTTCATTTCGTTATTTCTGATTGCCGAAGGTTTTTAAATACCTCACGCCCATTTTCTTTAATATTGTTATAAATAATGCAAAAGAAAAAAAAGAGCGCGAAGCATTTGAAAACCTCACGTGGCTCGAAATAACAAAATGAAATCGTAAGCGATAGCATTTTCCAAAGCAATCTGGTTAGGCGATTGGCCCCCTGGTCTTTATATCTTCTCTACAAACTTAATGCTCATAATGATCTGCCGCCATCTTAATCGAAATGTGTGCTTCGTGTGATAGTTACCAACCAACTGATTTAGAAATTGCCCCGATCGCCCTACACAGGCGGCAACGTGTAAGGCGGCAGGGGCAATTTAGGGACCAAGTATAGTCTCGTGCCCCAGCTGGCCAGCTGCAGGGCCAATCTAGAAAATTACCCCTGCCCCTGCTTACACACATCAAAATTAAGGAGGCAATTAAGGGTCAGCCCTACTCTAACACCCTAGATTGGCCCTGCAACAGGGATATGAGAAGCCCGCTTTATCGCGAACATTTTCGGCCAAGCAATAGTCACATCATTAGACATAGTGAGAAATTTGACTATTGCATGGATAGACGCGCAGTGGCGGCGCTAGGCGTCGGCGACGTCGGCCACCGCCAACGGCCTCGCGCCTAAGGGAGCCTCGCAAAAAATTTTTACAAGTTACCTATTTATTTTCGTTTCTCTGGCCTGGCTTAGTATAGGTAGCCGACCCCGAACAATTCGTGTAAAAAGCTAAGCAGATGATAATGACTTTTATTAATTTCGAACACGTGCGTGATGGAAGCGAGTAGTACTTTACGGGTATTCAGAATCGTCTGTCTGGCATCACTATTTTTGTAATTAACTTTCTATGTTTGTTATTATTTCTTGTCATCATTTGATTATCAACAATAAAACTCCTTTACTCATACGTTATTTTATAATTTGGCTCACTTAATTTAACGGTTTTTTACTGCGAATTAAAATAGCCCTCGCGGACTTGATGTCGCCGACGTCCACATGTGGTCTAGCGCCGCCACTGAAGACGCGTCATGAAAAAGGCAAATCTTCGCATTATCGAAATAGTGTGTCTCTAACATAATAGAGATAAATTGAGACGATAGGTACAATTGACGACTCAACGTTTACAATCAGATATTAGGATTTTTTCGTAATTAATACAAAATCCATAATTACAGTATATATATATATATATACGACAACAACATTGAACATTTAATAGTTACGAAATAAAATTTAATTATTATACAAAAACAATTCGTAAGTTTAATAAGTAATAGTTGAATTAATAATAATAGTTAGTTATTCATAGCGAAACTTAATTATATTAAGTAAATAGATATAATTGAAAAATATATCAGTCTTACATACTAACCTATCATAAGAGGCCATAATAATAAAAAAAATAAACGCTGAATAATAATAATATCAGCAATGAAGCATTAAAATTATGGAAAGAATTTGTATAGTAAACTTTAATGATATAGTGTAGACATACAATTTTTCCAAACTTTCCAAATAGTCCATCCAACTGTTTGAGTCGGTTTTATATTTTACTATTGCGAAAAAAGTGGTCAGGTACCTTCATACGAAAAATCTCCAAAAACGGTTAAGCAAGTTTGGCTTTGAACGCGTTACCAGCAGATCAAAGATATGCAGGAGTTTGACAGTTCAAAGGGGTCTACAAAATACATAGTCAATTGTTTTATAAAATATTGTTCGAACCATATTAAATTTTCATTGAAAAGCCTCAAATCACTACCACTAATTCTCTCATCTGTCACCTACAAAATATTACCCCCTTTTATTCCAAATTCTTTGAAATAAGATCTTTTTCTTTACTCCATAATAAATTCTTTACCACTCTCCATCCATTTTCGTTATTTCATTAACTACTCTATTTTTAAAAGTAACCTTTTGGCTTTTCAAAGTTTTTACACATTTCATTCGGTCATAAAAAATAAAAAAATCGCTAGTTAGGCAAATAACTCTCCCCCATTTACTTGACATTGGCTGAACGCACAAACCGTGCATGCCATAAAAAAGAAAGAAGAAGAAGACTCTGTCCCACTTGATGTTAAGTCATAAACTGCCACACCAACCATCCTCACTTTGCCGTCCTGCAGAAATGCTTCTTCACACCTCTTTTAAAGGAACCCAGATTATAGGAAGGAGGGAAAACGTGCGCGGCCAAAGAATTCCACTTGCGAATAGTGCGACAAAGAAATAAGTTAGAGTCTGTGCGGAAAGAGAATGGGCGTGGCGAAAAACGGAATTTACATTAAGATTTTTATTTGGCAATCAAACCCAGCAATCTGTAAAATGACAAAGTTTTGTATTGATACGGATTTCTTTGTAGTTGTGATTTCTTGCGGTTTTTTGAATTAAATATAATCATGTCGAAAAGGGGTAAAACCTTATAAATACAGTAGAAAAGCACTACAGCGCCCTCCTATATAAATACCATTCTCTTTCCGCACAGACTCTACCAAATTTCTTTGTTCGTGCAGGAATAGTCTCCACAGTAAGTCGGTGACAACGTAGGCCAGCGCGCATTGTCTTCTGAAGAAAAGGGGATAGTGGTATAAGGCAGAATAACTCCTCCCACTATTTCGCTGACATTTCCTTAAAAAGTTCAACTACACGAAAAATATTTAAAAACCTATCTTTTTTTTCTTTTCAATCGCGTTCAATCTTACACATCTTTTGCGAACAGCATAGCTTATCAAACACATCCATTCCCTGTGGAATAAAGCCTAGACTAATAGCAAAACCTACATTCGCTTTCATATCTCCCAATAAATGTTACACTTCATTTCCGAACAGCATAGCTTAACCAACATCTTTAAACCTAGCTTCACTTTCATTTACTGCCTTCAATCTTAGACTCCTGTTGCTAACAACCTAGCAGCTAAACAAACATATTCTCTCTTATCTCCCTTCAATCTTACACTTCTCTTCCCAGTAGCATCCTAGCAGCTTAACAAACTCCTTCTCTCTTCCTGGAATTCACTGAACTGTGCACCCGAAGCTTATAGCGCCGAACAAGGGCGCAGTCCCTAGGCCTCCGTCGCCATCCGTCATTCCAGCGAGGTATTTTGTCCTCCTGCAATCCCCACACGTACAGTTGTCCGTGAGAGTGCATAAACCTCTAGATGTGGCAATCGCTTCCCATTTAATCTGGTCGTCAGCCGTGCAGCTTCTGCTGAGGAGGTTCTATTGGGGGAAATAAATAAAATAAATATTTCCAACAATCACACCAATTAGCCTAGCCTCAAAGTAAGCACTATAAGGCTTGTGTTATGGGATACTAGGGTAACGGATATAATACATATACTGTACATATATAAGTATATCTATATAGAAGTATATTAATGAAATGAATCCATGACTGGAGTACAAATGCGCGTATTCATCACACAAACATTTGCTCCCACCGGGATTCGAACCCGGGACCTCTCGAGTCGGCGACACCATGAAACCCGGCGTACAAACCACTCAGCCACGGTGCTCGTCAATAGGAAATGATTGAGAATTCAAAGGTGAAACCTTTGCGATTTTATATGTAAAAATTTAAATGGAAATTCAAAAAAACCCCGGCACACAAAAATAATGTAAATAGTAAAAAAAAAACGGTGCTGCCCTTATATCTTTACTATAACTACTTCAAGTCGGAGGACCGCTAAAGAATTAGATTCATTATTATTGTTTGGTGCTCTCTCTAATCGCGGACACCCGATGACAACACAGTTGCTTTAAAAAAGTCTAAAATTATTATTTTAAAATTAACAGTACAAAAACAGTAAACACACTACAAGCAACGCTTCGATTGTCATTTATTCATTGAGACCATTCATATGAGCTCAAACACTCTATATCTGCTGTAAGTAGCTCAGGAGTTGAGTCCTTGGTGCTGCATCATCACCTGTAGATTACCAGATCTTGGGAATACCATCTAAGTAAAAGTGCACCAAATTCTAAATCAATAATAACTGTGAAATTTCCAACACCCTTTTCTTTAATGGAAAATGAGCTGATGATCTTCAAACCCTTCTCTCATCTTCATTAATTATAGAGCTAATAACAATCTCAATCATATTAGCTTTTTAATAGAAAGTCCTTGGAAGATCTGCGTAAATGAGTTCTATTGACTCCTTGACTCTAAAATTCACAATATATTAAAAATATCTGCGGCAAGAAACTTGAAATTCCTTACCTGCATAACCTCTACGTTGCTGGCCCGCCACATGTCGAAGTCTCGTAGCTGCCTCTCCTCCTTAGTCCTGTTCCTCTTGCCTTTCTTCAGAGTTCCACAGTAGACCGAGAGATCTTCGCTGACTGCCAACGAGGTTGCATCAAACTGGAACAATTATTCTTCTTGAATACTGCTGTTAGTGGAGGTCGATGGCGCGGCTTGTTTATATCAAACACAAACTCAAAAATGACATATGAGTGATACTCTTAAATAATTACAGCTCTCTTCAATGAGAGAAAATTATAGAAAAAATAGAGCATCTTTCTCTTTTTAGTATTAAACTCAAACTCATTTATTCAGTCTAGGCTGTTACAAGCTACTGTGAAGGTCAAGAAGCTAAGCCAATGGTTCGCAAAATTAAGGTTGGAAACCTTGTACTGAGAAGTACTGGCAAGAAACTCAGCAAGGGCTGTTTTTCTCTCCCTGTTTTATATTAAACAGAGTCGTCAATTTGAAAAATGACTTCAGAGACACTTCTGAAGTGACCAGTCGCCACATATGATCTCCTATATAACATTGCATTGTCGAAAACCTTATCATTATTTACTCATCTCATGGAATTCTCGCTGTGTTAACGGTACCCTATTGGATTTTATCAGGATAAAGATTCCTTGGCGGCTGCATCAAAATTTCCCCATGGAGTTATATATATATTAAGCAGTTTATATGGCCGGCCGGAAACCTTACACATGGCAAAGGGTCCAGAGTGCAGCTATTTTCTTCGGTCGTAGAAAGCGAGAATTAATACTTACCAAGAATATGAAATCAAACTTCAAAACGAAAACTTCCCCTTGGGATCGAACTTGCTGCAGTTTCTCTCAATAATCATTAGACCAAGCAAGCTTGGCAGTGCTGACCAAATTACGTAGCGATAATAGCTTACTGCTCAAGCTTTTAAATTGCAGAAGCGTCGTTACTCACCAGCTCTCATATCCACCACAATAGACCTTTCATACAGCTCCCCCCCCCCCCCCCCAATATTAGTAAATATTTGCTCTCTGATGTCGCACCGCTTATAGGAAGAGTTGCCAAGTCTTTATATCTGGGTAGAGATAGATCATCGTCGCAAACTTCTGAATCGCGGGTGGGGGCAGAAATTAGCTTTTTCTTTTATTTTGTAAATTTTAAGAAGATTTTTTAAATTTGTCTTGTGCTATTTTGGGGGGGAGGGTGTTATGTCCCCTGCAAGCCCCTGTTTAGGACCGCGCTTGGTTCCACATCAAAATTACCTTGCGAGGTCTTGGTTGACCCCTGGGACCTGGGTTGCAGTTGGCGAGATTCTGTAGGCGGGGTTTGACAGGCTCCATAAGAGGGGCCTGGTAGTGGGCTGGGAGCTTATGGTGGCGCATTAGCTGCATCAGTATCGGACGAATTGTAGCCATGTTCGTGATGTGGGGTCCGGGCCTGCCCGTTTCGGGCGGGGTCTGCGAGGATGTCTTCCTCTGTAAAAAACTGCTGTTTAGGAAGAAAGGAGGAGGAAGTGGAGGTTCCTAAGCCCTTTTGAGGTGAACAGAAATCGTGGTAGCAGTAGAAATACAATCATTCTCCACCTAGGGCATCAGAATCCTGGAGGAGAGCCTTTTGGTCCAGGCGTTAAGAAGTGTACTGAAATCTTGCACGTCGTTTGCTGGGAAACGAAGTAAGGAGGATAGCGGAGTGCAAAATAGAAGATATTTAGAGCGACAGACGCATACCTCGCCATGTAAGAAAGACGCCTTGTTTTTATACGAGGCGCAACAAATTACCCCACTACACCTGATGTTAAGTGTAAGTGGAGTCCAGTCGAAGATAGATGATGCGGCAGAAAGTGTGCCGCACCAGCCATCCTAACCAAGAGGTCTTCTTACGGTCTTCTGTAAGGTGGCGGTTGCTTCCCCAGACGGGCGCTCTAATTTGAGCGGAAAATCCACTGCACCCTGCCTCTATTAACTTAGCCACCGAGAATCATGGTCAGGATGAAATCATCAGGATGGAATTATGGGAGCCATTGGAAGAGTTGCAATACCTACTGAGGAGGCAACTTATGAAATATCAGATAATGATAAAGAGTACCAAAGGCATCGTCATGCGATGGCCATGCGATGGGGCGGGGGTGGGGGGGAAGGATTAATTTATTTATAAATGGACGGTGTAAAGGTATCCACTCAGTTGGATTGGAATCACCTCGACGTGCTCCGGTAAGCAAGTCAAGTGAGTGGATACTTTACATTTGGCCATACCTCTCTTGAATGAGTTTGGGATTTCAAGTTTTAAGTGAAATTTGTATCAAAGTAGCGTGGTAGAAGGACAGGTAGGGCTGGGATCTTACAACACTGCCTCGAGGAGGATCTGTGGTAGAATTTGTATGGCTACAAGTTACTGACACCATGTTGTTTATTTTCCTGGCTGCTCCCCGATTTTTTCAACATCCCCGCTATGTTCTTTTTTTAGCTTATATTTTTCTATATTTCTTAAAGCTACTAAAGATTATGAAGCATTCTGCTTATTCGTTTCGTATTCAGTGTTCTTCAGCTTTTATTTTGTTTTGGGCTATGTAATTTTCTTTTTTTTTGTCTTATGCTGTTAAACATTGGTTTATTTCATATCTTCATTTCATTCGTATCCTGAATCCTGCTTATATTAAAGTTAACATTTTGCTTACATCTTTTATCCTGCTTCATCGTCATCATCATCAGCCTATAATGTCCCCACTTTTACACGTTAACGCGTTACGTAACGAAGTGGTTTACCCTCCCATAAGAAGTTATCCAATAAATAAAAACCGACTTCATAAAAAAAACACTAAAAAATTATCATCATCGGCTGATGATTATTAATGTCCCACTGCTGAGGCACAGGCCTCCCTATGGAATAGGGAGATTGGACCATGACCCACCACGCGGACCCAGTGCGGATTGGTGGGTGCTAATGACTGCAGATGCAACCGGGACCAACGGCTTAACGTGCCTTCCGAAGCACGGAGGAGCTCGAGATAGTAATTTTTGGTCACCCATCCAATGACCGACCACTGCGAAAGTTGCTTAAGTTCAACGATCGCAGCCAAACGCGCTAACCCCTTGCGCCATCGAGCTCCTCGCTTATCCTGCTTATTCTTATATAAGTAGTAGCTGTCTTGGTGAATTTCGTACTACCCGAAAGTAATAATTTGAAATAAAATAATATTGCGACTATAAATTGAAATGTAATCTATTCTATCTTTCAAGTTGGATCAAACTGCACACGGTGTAAAAATTTTATTAAAATCGGTTAAGTGGTTGAGAACTCCATCCCGGAAAACCAACGTGATGCGTAATTTATATGTATTAAGTTAAGATAACAAGTTTCCTTAACTAAACATTTACATATATTAGAGAAATTAGCGAGATTGCTATCATGTACTTTGTTCTTGTGAGTCTGCGATATTTAGGCACTGTTGCGGCTAAGAACTCATGTCCCTCTAGCATGACCACCGAAACGGGATAAGATGAAGCGATATATCGGCATTAACTGTCAGACTACTTCTTCTTCTTCTTGTTTTTGGAAAATGGCGGTGCACTTTTGTGGATTTCGCCAGATGTCAGACTACTATGGAGTTTACTACTATAACAATACTATGGAGTTTGACAGTAGTCTGACAGTTAATGTCGATATATCGCTTTATCATATCCCGTTTCGGTGGTCTTGCTAGAGGGGATGGAGCGGTTTTACCTGCAACCGCCGCGACCGCAGAATTTTGCGTTTTACCTAAAATTTCACATTCTACGCGTATTGCGATCCCGCAGCCGCGGCGAGCGAAAATCTTGCCGTTTTTTTGAGTGTGTATGCTAACAACGGCTAACTAGAGCCGAGGTCCGAGTCTCAGAGACGCCCTCTAGTTGAGCCGACCCCCTCAGGTTCGAGTGCTCTAGAGGCTCCAGATGGAGAGGAGACTCCCCCCGTGGGGAGACGCCATCCGCCTGGAATACCTCTAGAGGCACTCGCCAATTCCCGGCTTGAGGTCCCCTTACCCGATGACGCTGTAAAGGTCATCTGCGACCAACAGCATACACACTAAAAAAAAAATCGTACCAGTTCTCTAAGAAAAACAAGGTACGTGGTAGCAATCCCTCTACAACTTTAATATAAGTGACTTTAAGGTCAGATTAAAACAACTTTGCCATGTTTTGCATAATAAAATTTCAGATTTGTATTTTTATCACTAATTAACTGATTACTTTTAATTTGTACAGGGTGTACAAAACAGTGAAACAGCTAATGAAACTGTATAAAATTTCACAGGTAATTTTACAATTTAAAATTAAATGACACTGGTGTCGATTCTGGCCTGACTCTCTAAATCTAAAATTTAATTTGACAATAGTGTATCCTTGTTATTCTCTATACAGAATGAAAAGGAGAGACTGAAATAAATAAAATAAAATGATTTTTTTCAAAGTTTTCCCTTTTTACGAAAGGCAAAGGGAACGATGCTCATACAGCTTAGTCTTCTCTTCTCTCGTTTTATTACTTATTTTTTTATATAACAATGTGGGTGTGACACACTATAATATTTCTTGGAGAGTTTGGCACGAAATGTATCGAGGCAGCTTTCTCGATAAGCTTCTGTGAGGTAATCAACACTACAATAAGTTCTCACGTCCACTTGACCGAAATATGCCACCGGGTTACCGGTGTATATTTTAAAGATACCATTTATTCTTCAGCGACGTTTGTAACACAAAATCACACCAATTTTATTTCATAACTACTGGCCCGCCCTCGCTTCGCTTCGGTATTTTATCCCCTTGGGGGTAGATTTGATCAAAATCCTTTCTTAGAGGATGCCTACGTCATAACATCTACCTGCATGCCAAATTTCAGCGTACTTAACTGTGCCGTGTGGTAACGCACAAAGTGTACAGTTTTTTCGTGCGAGATGCTTGCGCAGGCCAAACTGTGGTGAAGCTTGTGCGTGTGGTAAGCGCATTAGCGGATGCCTACGTCATAACATCTACCTCTGCATGCCAAATTTCAGCCCGATCCGTCCAGTGGTTTGGGCTATGCGTTAATAGATCACTATGTCAGTCAGTCAGTCACCTTTGAGTTTTATATATTTAGATATCCACCGAATGAAAGAACGAACGAATTTAAGAATACTTAAAATAAGACGCCAACCGCACTCGATGAAGTGGCGGCAAAAACTCCTTCTAAAATCAAACCAAATCAGTGTTACCATTGATGTTACTTCTGAAAATCAATAATTTTCTAACCTAACCTAACCTAACCTAACCTAACAATTTTAAAAGGGTGACGATTTATCAGAGGTTAAATTATTTTGCGGATGAACTGTCACCTAAGAGAAAGAGACCCACCTGTAAGGAGTTGGCGTCACATGATGTGGATGCATCTCCGTCGTCCAACTGGTCTGAGTATCGGAGTTGCTGCTCCAATTCTTCGTCCTGTGTATTGAGATATAAAATGTATACAATAAACAACTAATATATTATAAAACACACAAGAACTGAAATATACTACCATTTACACATACACTCACACCTACATACAGTACGAACTGACACAAACAACATACATAAAGCAAATCATAATCTTTGTTTAAAACAATTTAATTATTAATAATTATATTGAAAATTACCAAAGTGTTTGTATAATTTCTGAGTTGGTTGAGTTTTCTACGTATATTGGTGTCGATTCTGGCGTGATTCTCTAAATTTAAAACTAAATTTAACATCAATCTTTCCTTTTCATTCCGTATAGAGAATGACAAGGATACGCTGTTGTCAAATTTAGTTTAGGTTTAGAGAATCGTGTCAGAATTGACACCAATGTATACAGGGTGTTACAAAAATACAAATAAAGCTTGAAGGGCGTTGAAGTACATCATTTAAGGAGTCTTCTCTAATTTTCATAAAATATTTGCAAAAAGTTTAAACTTTTTATAAAAACAGTTATTTTTAATAATTAATAATAATGGTGTCGATTCTAGCATGATTCTCTAAACCTAAACTTAAATTTGACAGCAGTATATCTTTGTCATTCTCTATACAGAATGAAAAGGAGACACTGATGTTAAATTTAGTTTTAAGTTTAGAGAATCACGCTAGAATTGGCACCAATATCGACCATTTTAAGACACGTCACTAGTTCGAGGTCATGCACCTTACCAGGAGTAGCAATAAATCTGCTGTAATAAAAAAAATTAGAGAAGATTCCTTATATGATGTACTTCCACGCCCTTCAAGATTTATTTGTATTTTTGTAACATTCTGTATATATATTTATATATAAATAAAATATAATCATAATTATATATTGAAATAAAAAATGTAATGAAAGTGTATGTATGTATGGACCTGCAAACAGTCTATCCCTGCGTCGTCCCGCAGGTCGGAATACAGCTGGTGTTGCAACTCCTCGTTCTGGAGAGTGCTGGTGGAGGTGGCTTCCACCGACAGGGGTTGGTACTTCACCTGCACGATGTTAATGAAACGATCAATTACCGTACTTAGAAGCGACAAATCTACTTAATGCTTCATTCGAATCTTATTTAGAGCTTTGTTAATTATTAAACAGTACCCTTAGTACGAGTTTTACAATTACGAAAACTATGATAGTTTTCGTGAGCTCGCACTCGTACTAAGGGTACTGATTTTATTGTTTTCGTTTAGATACAAATAAACTGTGTTTAAATTATATCATTAAATCATTTGGGTCTTCTTAAATTTTAAGTATATTTGGTTACTTTTCACCAAAATGGGCATAGAAACATAATTTATAATTACGAAAACTATGATAGTTTTCGTAAGATCAAACTCGTACTAAGGCGATTATCACACGGCACCGCGCACCGCCGCGGCAGGCGGTGAAGCGGATCTCATGTCGCATAAGCCTCTCCTAAATCCGTTGATACTAAACACATGTTCACCGCCCGACCGCGCGGTCGAGCGGTGCTCTCGCCGCCACCGCCTCTCCGCGCGGACGGCAGCGCGGAGGGGCGGCACCTCACACACGTGGCACCGCATAACCGCGCGGAACATCGTGGAAGCAAGACGTGTCGCAATTTAAAAATGGATTTCGATGTCGAAAAGTTTATTTCAGAGATTCAAAGTCGCTCTGCTATCTGGGACATGAAAAGCACACAATATAGTGATAGACTCCTAAAACTGAAACAATGGGAAGAAATTGTTACCTTATATTTGGAGCCAGGACAAACTTCTGACAAAGAAAAGAAAGAACTCGGTAAGTTTTAAAAAAATATTTATTTTAAATTTAAGCATATTGACTTTGCCATGGTAGCGGGTTCTCATTTACAAAATAATCAGCTAAATTATTACGGATCGCTGCAGCACTTGTGCTTCCTCTGCAATTATTGTCTATCGGTATATTAACTATTCCCTCCGTCTCATTGTTTGTATATAAAATATCCTTAAAATCAACGCCATGTCTTTCCCTAACAAAATTATGAAGTATACAACATGCTTTAATAATTTTTATAGATAAAATTCTGTTTACGTTCAAAGGGCGTTGAAATATACGCCATTTATGTGTTAAAATACCGAATGCACACTCAATATATCTACGTGCCCTGCTCAAGCGATAATTAAAAACTCTTTTAGTGTAATTTAAGTGATGTCCTGCATAGGGTCGTAGAACATTGTTTGAGATATTGAAAGCTTCATCTCCGATAAAAAAATATGGTACGGAATTGGTGATACCAGTAATTGCAGAGGAGTTTGGTATATTAAGAGTTCCATCTTGAAGTTTTTGGTAAAAAATGGAATCACGAAAAACTGTAGAATCACTGCATTTCCCATAAGCACCTATGTCAACGTATATAAATTTGTAATTAGAATCACAAATAGCCAGCAGTAAGATGGAAAAATAATGCTTATAATTGTAGTACAGCGATCCAGTTAGAGATGGTTTGATAACACGCACATGTTTACCGTCTAAGGCACCTAAAACATGAGGAAAATTGGCTCTTGACTTAAATCCTTCAGCTACATTTAACCACATTTCAGTTGTAGGTTCGGGAAAACACTCCATTTTCATTACATCCCATAATGCATCACACACTTTTTCTACAATATTTCGTATGGTTGATATACCAAGTCGATAACTGTAATGCAGATCGGTAAAGGAACACCCCGTGGCCAGGTATCTGAAACAATATATTTTTTTATTACAGGGCGCTCGCTACAAATAAAGTGGAAAAACCTTCGAGAGGCCTTCATGAAGGAGTGTCGAAGACAAAAAAATATAAAGAGCGGAGCAGGAGCTAAGAAAAATAATCAGTATAGATTTTATAATCAATTGTTATTTTTAAAACCTTACGCTGGAAAAAATAAAACTCAGAACAGTTTGTCTGCAGGAGACGATGAATCAGTCGGGGAAGGTAATGAATCAGTTGGAGGACCATATGAAGACAGAGCCTTAGGTACTAAAAGAAAGAAATCTGATCCTGCTGAAGAAATGACGCGAGAGTTAATCGATACCCTGAAAACTTCAATAAACAAAAAAGAAAACGAAGAAGATCCTGACCGACAGTTTATGCTCTCTTTGGTGCCTGATTTCAAGAAAGTACCCGATCGATTAAAATCTGTCGTGAAAATAAATATAATTAGATACATATCACAAGCTCAGGATGAAATGTACAATTATAAAGAGTCAGGCGACGCTACAATGTCCTATACTAATAATCAAAATCAGGGTTATTATACGAATACTTCATCATATGCGCACCAGCAAAACGAGCAAGGGACCTCTGCTGCCGGAATTGCAGATAATATTATAGAAGCAATACCAGCAACACCCACCACAGTTAATTCAAACATTACTGATGAATCGGATATTTTATCACTGTTTTAAAACCATAGTGTGCTCATTGCACGGAAGATAGAAAGCTGTGATTATGTTAATTAGTTTAAGGTAGATACATAAATATGTACGTGATTGATCCTGTGATAAAGAAAAAATTACTGTGATTTGATTACTAAATAAGAAATTATGCTCATTGTGCGGAAGATAGAAAGCTGTGATTATTTTAATTAGTTTAAGGTAGATACATAAATACGTGATTGATCCTGTGATAAAGAAAAAATAACTGTAATTTGATTACTAAATAAGAAATTATGCTCATTGTGCGGAAGATAGAAAGCTGTGATTATGTTAATTAGTTTAAGGTAGACACATAAATACGTGGTTGATCCTGTGATAAAGAAAAAATAACTGTGATTTGATTACTAAATAAGAAATTAAAATTACTAATTATAATTAGATGTAGGTACAAAAATCTAAAAAATCTTCAAAAAAGACTGAGGTAGATTTAATAACAAGAATAATTGACAGACTGATTATTTAAAGTAATAAAAATATAAAATGGAAAAATGTGTATTTTCTTCTTCACTTACCTCAAGGTCACAAGAAGCTTTTCTTCCGGCGAAATACAAGGACGCATGTTTGTATTTACTCCAGAAATTGCTTTCCTTATTTTTGCTAACAAATAATCAAATGAAGAAGTGGACATTCGCGTATAATTAAAAAATTTATCTTCGTATTTTCTCAAACTTTTATAGAATAACATGAATGACCCATTTAGAGTTCTGCTTCGTAAAAATGGATGAACCCAGTATCTTCTTATTTTTTTCTTTCTGCGCCATAAAAGCCAGATTGCTGCCACCACTTCAGCGTCCATTCTTGCCAGCGTCTGCAATCAAACTGGTCAAAACCGCGTTAAATCCATCCGCGCGTACAGGCGCGTAAACCGCCTTACCGCGCGGTGCACCGCTGCGAAATCCGCGTTACCGCCACCGCCCTCCGCGGCGGTGCGCGGTGCCGTGTGATAATCGCCTAAGGGTACAGATATTTTTATTATCTCAAGTCAAATCATGAATTTTGACAGCTCCGTAATCGTATCGTCATCGTCAAAAAGTTAGTTTGCTCTTGTTCCAATAGGGGCGCTGCTTTATTTTCACAGAAACTTTAATAATAAATAAATATTTCCAACACTCACACCTATTAGCCTAGCCCCAAAGTAAGCACCATAAGGCTTGTGTTATGGGATACTAGGGTAATGGAAAGACTACATATACTGTACATATATAAGTATATTTTTATAGAAATACATATTAAACATCCATGACTGGAGTACAAATGCTCGTATTCATCACACAAACATCTGCCTCCACCGGGATTTGACCCCGGGACCTCTCGAGTCGGCGACACCATGAAACCCGGCGTACATACCACTTGGCGACGGAAGTCGTCAATGACGACGTCTATGTTATAAATATAAAACAATGCCTTCGATGCTTTTATAAAGAACACAAATAATTCAAGATCAAAACAACAAATGCCACGGCAACACTTTTCATTCGTAAAACAATAAAATCATTTTTTTCTCAAAAATCACTGTTTGTCATGAATTTTATTCACTACTTCATCATCATCATCAGCCTATTAATGTCCCCACTGCACTGGGGCACATGCCTTCCCTATGGAAGGAATAGGGAGATTGGGCCATGACCCACCACGCAGGCCCAGTGCGGATTGGTGGGTGCTAACGACTGCAGATGCAGCCGGGACCTTAACGGCTTAACGTGCCTTCCGAAGCACGGAGGAGCTCTAGATAGTAATTTTTGGTCACCCATCCAATGACCGACCATTGCGAAAGTTGCTTGTTCAACGATCGCAGCGGAAAGCGCTAACCACTTGCGCCATCGAGCTCCTCCTCCTTACTTCTTCGCCATTTCTTATTTAGTAGATAGAGAAAAGAAAACGGCTGCCAAGCCAAGCAGACTCGCCGTTTCGCTCGCTCTGCGTTAAGAGCCCTTTCACATTTTTTGCAAAAAATCGTAATTTTTGAGCGCCTTGTTTACTCCCTTAGAAAAGATTTAGACTATTTTCAATAGAAATAAACAGTAGATTTATTCTTCCTATTGTAAGTTAATGTAGAATATTTGCAAATACTATTTTCGTTTTTTTGTACTGATCGTTATACCGCAGCTAGTTTACGGAAAAACGATAATATGCATAACTTCAAACGCCCAATTCTCTAAATAATGTTCAATAAATTAGGTCAAATTAATTACTACAACATCAGAAATATGTTTTTGTTGTAACAAAATGTATTAGAATTCCGATTTTGCATCGCATTAATTATAAAAAAAAAACATCTAATCTCCGTAAGTTTTTCCAAAAAACAATGCAGGTTTACCTCGTATTTTGATATTGAATTAAATAGAATTACTATCAAAAACTTTCATAAAACTAATCTACCATCATTGAAATACTGAAATTTGTATATATTTTTATAATTAGTTCATTAATAATTATTTTATAAGACTCGAAACATCACCCGTAAAGTGCAATATATACTAGTGCAAATCAACCTACGCGCCGATCAGTATAGCAGCGGCGCAATTTTGTAAAAGGGCTCTTAAAGCGTACAGTTCTGTCTCGCTCGCTCGATTGAATGTTTATTTACAGAATGGTGCGTGTGTGAGAGTTGCTTATGTAGTTGAATTCGGAGCTTATTCGAAGCTTATTTTATTTGATGCTAGTATGAGCGTACCGTATCTTCCCTTTTTGTTTAATCTATGAGTCTGGGTTCTGGTATGCCAAATACGCTTAAAACGAACAATTTGAGCAAAACTCAGTTAAATTGGATAATTGAAAAGCTCATACCTGTGTATTTTCACAATTGCTGCTCTCGCTGTCTCGTCGTGTTGGTGTGAACTGTTCTGAGGGTAGCTGTAAATGATGCTTGGATTAAATTGAAATTCTGTCATTCGATATCACAGAATACAGAAAGAGGTTAGAAGAGCCTTGTGGGCGGGGCAGGCGTGCAACATGGAAAATGGTAGAACAACGGCATAATCAAAAATCGTTTTTACTAATGTCGTTACTGACTAGGATTGCCACCCGTACTTTATCATAAAGTATTGTACATTATTTCGGGTTATTGTACTCTATACTTTATGCCAACAATAAAGTACGCGAAAATACTTTATTTCATGTGATTTGATTACACGCGGATTAATTTTACATAAAATATACAAAAAGAGGTTGATAGGAAGAATTTTTGCGTAAAACGGACGGAACATATGAATATGTTGCCCTTAGCTAATTCCTGCAACATTTTCGTGGCTGTATGCCTTTGTATCATGGCCTTTCCCATTGCGGAAAAGAAACTATAGTAAGTAGCCGCAAATTTTTATTAAAAGTTGCTAGTAGCAATTTAAAATATAATTTTAAGCTTACCAATAAAGTGGAATAAAAAGAACTTTATTTTGGCGCAATGTACTTTTTTTTCCACATTTAATATCCAATGTACTTTATTTGGACAAAAAAAAGGTGACAACCCTATTACTGACGCACTTTAATTTTTTTAATGATATAAGTGTGACACAAATCACACGGTTTTGTTGTCTCTAATAGTTTCCGTGTATTTGTGTACTATCTAAAAACACACAGGGCTTTTGGGTGCGAAAAAACATAGAATATATGGGTCATTATGCGAAATGGCCTTTTTTAAATCACAAAAATTAAAGTGAGGATTTTTTGGGTTTCAAACATTTATTTTTTGCAAAATATAATCAAATACCATAATCACAACAGAACACAGAATTTTCATTACGTTTAATACGTAAAACCATGAAAAATCATTTTTAAGTCTTACAGAATTGACGCACGTTTTCACTGAAATGATCTAAGTGATCTTAACTTAAGAATTAATACAGTTATGATAATAATAAATGTTCTACCGAAAACCATTAAACCAAGATAACATAAATTATGAAACATTATTTTGATCAATAATTTTAAAAGACAATAAAAAAAATCAGACATTCATGTCCACGGAAATGATATTTAGTAGGAACGTCATTTCTGTGATACTAAATTATTAGAATCACTGAAGTCATCATATGATAAAAATGTGCGAAATCTCTTATTATAATGTTCTGGGTATATTCAACAGCCAAAAAATTTACCCTGTTTTGTCTCAGAGGCCTAATTTTGTTTTACCTATCAGAATAAATTTCATCGACACGTAATTTAGAGCATGATGGTATAGGGGGCTCATTTTCTGTGTTGCATGTAATGATTGTATTGGTGATTACATTTATTCCAACCTAAAATGACGACAAGTGATGTCTGAATGACATTCCAAACAACTCAGTCGCCAGGCTTGAAGATAATCTGGGTTTTCTTTTGCCCAAACAATTTGATGAACTTTCATCATGCCTTGATAGGTTTTGTTAAGCTATTCTGAAAAAGAAGATGTTTTCTATTGGCCTAATAATACATATATCATTTATTGGCATTAACCTAACCAAGAGGTCATTTTTTTTTCCAATAGTTATTTTCCATTTTTTTGCAAAAAATAATATCAAAGTTTGATGGTCTGGAATGTCATTCCCCAAAACCACTCGTCGATCATTATGTCTTTTTAAGTAGCCACCTACACCGTCTGGCGTCCTTTTCCATGACCAGACTCTGAATAATGCCATACAAAAGTGTTTGTATTAAACACCGAAAAAATACAAGTTCTGTGAACAACAAGTTCACAGTAATGACGATCACGGGATTGAAGAATCATTTTTAAAATCATACTACGTCGTGGTTTTAAAAGTTACATATTAATTTATAACTACAACCAAAATAAGTCCCCATGGCATTAATTATGAGCTATGGTGGCAAAGTAAATACGTTACTACATACCAAAAAAATCCCTAACCAAATTGACGGACCAAACTTTACCAGAAACGTATATTACATATATTTTTTTAACAAAACTTCACAGTACATAACCTCCTTGTTGGTTAGCACACACATCTGAACTAACAGCAAAAAACAGTGTAACCAGGTAATAAGAGCAGCAATTCGGGTCTCAAAAATTTTTTGTTGGGTGAAAATAGTAGTTCACGGTATTGATTCAAATTTTTATAACACCTGTATAATGGCTATGAATTTTAATATATTAATAAGAAAAAATAAACTGCTATGTTCTGATGTTTATTCGGATGTGTGAAAACAGATACTGTGAGTTCTTTTTAATTCAAGTGTGTAATATAACTTTTTTTCCAGCTTTTCTGACGAAAAATGTATTTAGAACAGTTCACGGAGTATGACCACGCTTCTGTTTTGATTTTTTTTTACAAATTAGCAGATAAGGTATGGTTGAATTTGTTATGTTTTGGTAAATAGTCACAATAATGTACTAAATAGATTTTTTCAGCTTTTGAAATAACTTATAAATAGTTAAACATCACCAAAGAACAGTTTTTTTTGTACTTCTTATAATGACCCATATACACGTTGTAGCGAAGTGTAGCCACGGTGAGAGGGTGCCCGACTGAATGCAAGTTAGGCAATTACCTGACTTTCGTATTGCCAAACTAGAAGCTTGAATGTCGTATCTATAACTTTAAAACCTCATAGCTTCAACCCTAATAGGCGCGTTTTTATCGATAATGCGCTCTTCCATTGCGTCATTATTATCGCAACAGTGTGCAGCACTACCAAATTCAGACGCAGCAAAGTTGCTGTTTGATATGGTTTGCGCTAGTAAGAATAGCTCGCCCTCTCCAATGTTTTAATTAAATTAGTTGTGTATGAGTTTTGGTTAGGGTACAATATGAGGCTGGCATATTCGTAGATTCTAAAAAAAAAGAATATAAAAAAAAAACACGGGTAGTGGGTACTCCGGGAGTGCCGGCAGAAGTGAAAACTTGAATATTAACGTTGTGCATTTTTGATATTTTGGAATGGTTAGGGAATAATTTTGCACGAATTGCTTTAATTATCAGTATAAAAGTACTATCATGTATGTGGTAGAATACAATATTTATTTATTGCGCTATCGTACACAAACATGACAATTTATATTACATTAAATAAGCTTATCTCTCAGAAAAATCAACTTACATGAATCACGTTTAAGCGCACCTAGCGACATCTATTGTGAACAAAATGCATTTTCTTCGCAATAAAGCTGCCACGTGGACGTCCTAAATAGAGACTTATTATTTTAATACGATAAAATAAAATATTACTATATTTCGTTCAATATATTGAAAGTCAACAACCTTTCCAATTTTATTGTATGTCATGATGCAATCAGCCCACGTTTGTAACCTGACGCGTGTTTAGAATTTTTTACCCATACAAAAAAAGTGTACAACGCCGTTAAAGAAGTTTTCACTTCAAAAAATGTTCTAATACATAATGTGATAAACAGATATCGTAATAACGCATCCGATATCGACTAATAATAACGCACCTGTGGGAGGAAAGCTTTAATCTATTATAACACTTACGTCTTCATTGTCGCTGTCGATTTGTAACGCTGTGAAGTCGACTGGTGACATTTGGTCAGTTTTACCGTAACTTGTGGAAGGTATTGGAGAGGTTTGTATAACTGCGAAACAGTAACACATATAAATGGTTAAAGTTACGCAGAAATTGTTTATTTATGACGCAATTGCAATTCCATCAGCACACTTTAACTGACATAAATTAAAAATCTGGGTAAAAATTTTTGAACGGGAAGAACGCTTAAGAAACAATAAAAACTGCACGTCGCTGACACAAAATGGAGTGTAATGCGATTCAAATAAGAATAAGAAAGCCAATGACCTCCATCTGCCAAATATCGCTTGAAAAGTACGGTTTGCAAAAAAATCTTGGAACCCTTTATTAGCACTCAGCTAATTCTAGAATAAAAACCAAACATTTTTGTAAACAAACAATAACAAATATTAATAATTAATATTGTTTAATATTTTTTTTCATTTTTTGAGCTTTGGCTATTACTTTTTGATAACCTAAATCGTCAACCAAATGTCACTTTGAGTTGCGTTCATAAACTCGATTTAAAACTTAATATAAATTTAACATAAAGGATGGAACATGCATCCGTATGTGACCTAGCCATAATACATGATTATTCATAACTACTCCGGTGGTAATGCAGAGATGAGCGGAATTGAAGAGCTAAATTCTGTTTAATGTTTTTTCTCACATAGTGTTAATAAATAAATATTATTAAAATCGGTTGATTTTTTTCTCTTACATAATAAATAATTTTATTAAAAAAAATCTGATGTTTTTTCTCACCTAATCTTAGTAAATAAAAGCTTTTTTTGCTCACCCTTCCTATTTTGTTTGAATTGACAGCTATGACGTCACAATATGGCGCCCAGTTGGTCCTATTCTTAGTTGAATCTCATTATAATCGCATATTTAAAATAACTAGCAAACCAGTGAACCAAATGTTCACCAAAAAAAAAATATGTATTTAATTAATTGAGAACTTCGGAGATTTTGTGTGGTTTCGTTTGAAATAGAAATCACTTGATTTCTCTAAAACCGGAAGTGCTACGTTACTCACATCCGGTTTGTAGTCTTATCAGACTATTCTCAACTTATAACTTAAACATTCTCTTTATCTATCTCTTACGGTTTGGCCGCTGAAACAGCACCACGGACGGACGGACGGACGGACTTGTCTAATAGATAAGAGATACTTATATAAAAAATGGTTGCCTGTAAAGTCGGTTTTACGGGCGAAGATTTTACGTGACAACGTCTTTTTCTCGGTAGAATATTTATTGATATGAATATAATTAAATTGCACAATAGGAACAAGGAATTGAATGAAAATAAGAATTGCACAAATTTTAACTATAGAAATATATTTTGTTTACTAAAACATTGTACATGTAAACTTAAACTTAACACGAGAGACTCATCGTAACGTTACCGAGCGTTACACTTTTTCATAAGTGACTCCCAGCCGCAACCTAATTTAAGACGTTGTCACGTCAAAAGTTTTGTGAAAAGTGTGATGCAGTAGTTAAGCGTATTGACTTACCATGTTCAATACTGTGGCTGGAATGAAGTAGATTTTCAGTAGACGGTTGCTCTTGCTCTCTGCTTCGCGCTTTGAAAAGGCCGAATTTACCAGGAGCCATGCTGAAAAAAATAATTATTTTAACGACAGCAATAATAATGATCCAGAAGACCTCCGTGGCTGAGTGGTTTGTACGCCGGGTTTCATGGTGTTGCCTACTCGGGTTCGAATCTACACATATACACAAACACACACACACACACACACACATACACACACATACACATACACCCACACATCATTTTCATACATTACATATTAATTCAAATATTATACTCATAGATGCCTTGCTTTTAAAATGACCTACTGATCTTTTCATTTATGAGATATTTATTTAGTCTAGTTTAGTATTCTCATGTCTGTGGGGGTTTATGGCGCTGAATGCTGTAATACAGGCATTGCCTAGTTCAGCAGCAGAGGCTAATAAATTATACTTTCTGTAACTAGTGCTAAGTTTGTTACGTAATCTTACTGTACTGATTTTTTTGGTCAATAAATCTTATTATTATTATTATTAAAAAAAATCTCGGTGGGGGCAGATGTTTGTGTGATGAATACAAGCAACTTGTACTCCAGTCATGGATATATGTATTTTATTCGTTACCCTAGTATACCATAACACAAGCCTACAGTGTTTACTTTGGAGCTAGGCTAATTGGTGTGCCTGTAAGGCGGCCCCCAGACGATCAATTATATTGTGCAATATTAATTATTGCGCCATATTTTTCCATTGCATCGTGTAGGGACACTATTGCGCAGTAATTTTCAGTCTGTGTTTCGTCGGCAAGGAGAAGCTGCGCGTGTACGTTTCCAAAAAAAAAACAGAAAAAAGAGAAAACGAAAGTTCAGGAAAGAGAGTTAGTTTATCGTCGAATGTTTCCAATTGTACAGAGAATTGTCGTCTTTGTGTAATGTTAAGAGCAAGGAATATCATGATCTTGATAAAAATAAACGACGGGTTGCACTCCAGGAGTGCCGGCAGAAGTGAAAACTTGAATATTAACGTTGTGCATTTTTGATATTTTGGAATGGTTAGGAAATTATTTTGCACGATTTTTTTTAATTATCAATATAAAAGTACTATCATGTATGTGGTAGAATACAATATTTATTTATTGTGTTATCGTACACAAACATGACAATTTATATTAGGGGAGAGTGGGTAACAGTGGATCACGGGTCACAGCGGATTATTCGCTATAATTCTTACGTCTGATGCTTTACGCACACAAGCAAACGCGTGGCTACTGCTCGTCGATACCCCCCTCTCACGCGCTTGTCGCCGCCGCGCTCGCCGAGCTGAATCACGTGCTGTCACACGCAGACCAATAGGTAAGTACGAAAGTATTTTTTTACGTAATTTAAAAATTTGTCGTATTCCCAACCCTTTAATAAATATAAATGATAGTCGTATGTTTTGAACTTGTTATTTGATAAATTCGTTGTGGGTAATGTAATTTTGGCTTGGGTATAAGTAGTTATTTTTTGAATATTTTTTTTGCGTCGTACCGGCCTATGGGTCACAGTGAATAATTTTCATTTGGGTCACAGCGGACTGTAGCTGCACGGTAGCGCTGCATGATATGAAGATGATTTTACCAAAACCTACGTTTTCTGGGACTACAAAGAGGAAGCAAGGCACGCACAACTTTAACGTTGATCTTTCTAACATTAATTTACGCTAATCTAATTTAATTTGACCTCAAACCGAATTTTGAGATATCAGAAAATGAAAATATTTGTTTTTATAGTTTATTTTTTGTTAATGATTACTGTAGAAGTAAATATGTTTATTTGAATAGAGGAGAGAACTTTGTGGAAATGAAAGGAGAATAACTGTTGTTTATTTAAACAAAATGTTGATTAGTTTAGGTCTCTTTATACCAGCATAATTTGAAAGACTTGTTAATTTTTGATAAGACTCTGATAGAAGGCTGTCTTAGAATATAAATAAATAAATAATTATGAAGAAAATTGGTATTCTATTGAACTTTTTTTTAAAAGATCCAGTGTACCCCAAGCGATTCCCTGTCACCCATGAAAAGATCCAAAGTGACCCATCCACGGGTCACAGTGGATCATTTCCCATTTTTTAAAAAACTTGTTATAACTTGTAAATTTCTGCCGTTTTTACCAATAATTGCACCTGGTTTTGTAGATTACGGACATATCTTGTGGTTAATTATCATAGATTAATTGTTTACGCATAAACTTGGGATTTGTGGAGTTTGAAAAAAAAGTGATCCATTGTTACCCACTCTCCCCTACATTAAAAAAGTTTATCTCAGAAAAATCAAGTTACTTGAATCACGTTTAAGCGCACTTAGCGACATCTACTGTAAAGAAATCAACTTACATGAATCACATTTAAGCGCACCTAGCGACATCTATTGTTAAAAAAAATCATTTTCGTCTCAATAAAGCTGCCACGTGGACGTCCTAGATATAGACTTATTATTATAATACGGTAAAATAAAATATTACTATGTTTCCTCCAATATATTGAAAGTCATCAACCTTTCCAATTTTATTGTGTGTCATGATGCGATCAGCCCACGTGTTTAACCTAACGCGAGTTTAACATTTTTTACCCATACAAAAAAAGTGTACAACGCCGCTAAAGATGTTTTCACTTCAAAAATCACTGAATATCGCGGAACAAGTAAGGGTTGAATACAATGGATGTTGTAACAACGAAGGTGCAGTTCCTGGCAAGAAATGTGTAAATAACCGCAAACCAAAACAATTTTTCTTACTTTTGTCGAATTAAAAGGAAATTCTGTTTGAAATACTCCCAAACGAGTAGCTACGAGTAGTCCAAAAACACTTTCAACCGTCCTTCTAGCTCGCGATATTCGATATTTCTATATTCTTTTCTATTTTGTTAATCTAGTTTGGCTTTATGGTTTCAGTAAATTTTCATATTTTTTTCTTTATAACGTTATCACGTAAAACTATAGTCCGTAAACCCGACATTACAGGCAACAATTTTTTTCTTAAAACTTGTGTTTAGTAGTCTTTTATGTGTATTACTAGCAAACCAGTGAACCAAATGTTCACCAAAAAAAAATGTATTTAATTAATTGAGAACTTCGGAGATTTTGTGTGGTTTCGTTTGAAATAGAAATCACGTGATTTCTCGAAAACCGGAAGTGCTACGTTACTCACATCCGGTTTGTAGTCTTATCAGACTATTCTTAACTTATAACTTAAACATTCTCTATATCTATCTCTTACGGTTTGGCCGCTGAAACAGCACCACGGACGGACGGACGGACTTGTCTAATATTAATTTTTAATTTCCACAAAACCCATTAAGGGCAATAGTGAAATGGGACCTTTGTGCTTCCAAATAACATTCATTTCATTTCTGAGTAATTCGATTTAACTGTATTGTTTCCGCCTTTGTATTCTTGATCAAATCACAAAAGCTCTTGACAATAAAAGTACTTACTTAATCCCAGTATCCTTTGAGATTCAAGTTATCTAATTATTTCCCCGATAAGCCCTTACCTTTTTTCGGTTAAATTCTTCAAATCGATATCGCAAAGTTAAGCAACTTTCTCAATGTCCTCTAACAGGATGGGTGAATAAAATTGATTTTATCTCGACCTCTTCCGTGTTTAGCATAGTACATTAAGCCAATGGTCCTAGTCACATCGATCATCGACACCAGACAGATGACCAGATGTCCTGTATTTCAGGCATAATTTTGGGGATGGGACAGATATTTTATATAGAACTAGCGGCCCGCCCTCGCTTCGCTTCGGTGTAGAGCTCAAGTGTAGACTACAGTTTTTGTTCTCAGGCTTGTATTATACACAATGACATTCATCTATGATTCTTCTTATATTCATTCCCTATTTTATCCCTTTGGGGATAGAATTGATCAAAATACTTTCTTAACGGATGCCTACGTCATAACATCTACCTGCATGCCAAATTTCAGCCCGATCCGTCCAGTGGTTTGGGCTCTGTGCGTTGATCACTATGTCAGTCAGTCGTCACCTTTGAGTTTTATAATATAGAAATAGATATTCGATCTCGCAATTCCTAAAAAGCAAAGACGCGCAGATGCCGGCTATAGATATCCGGTTTGGTTTACTGGGGATATTATTAAGGATATCAAATGGAAGACTCGTTTGCATAGAGCATGGCTGACATCTATGTCCGGTGAATCGTACGCTGTATTGCGCCTGCGTTCGAACATAAAGTTACGTATGTCTCAGGCTTACAGGGCTCACTTGGCTCCCAGGACCAGGCAGCGGACGGGACTCGAACCCACACCCTTCCTACCTACAAGGTGCGCTGCCTTGCCTATGAATGGCTAGAGAAAATTCCATACAGTCATCAGGGCCGCGGTAGCACAATGGTCATGGCATTCACCCGTAAAGTGGAAGACGTGCCTGGATCAGGCAGCAGACGGGACTGGAATGCGTGTAAACATAGGTATGGAATTTTTTTCTCGGAAAAAATTCTTAGATTTACATCCAAAAAATTTTACCAGAGAAATTGAACCCTGTGACGGACAGACGGCTGTGGTATATTAATAGGGTTCCTTTTGACACCCATTCGGTTTGAAATCCAAAAAAAGAGAAAATTGTTAGGTAGCTGACAAAACAACATACGTATTACCTAGTGTTATCTATAAGAAGCCTACAGGAACATAATATTCGCATATCTCGAAATATCTAGGTTTCAATCTATACTAATATTATAAAGCTGCAGAGTTTGTTTGTTTGTTTGTTTATTTGAACGCGCTAATCTCTGGAACTACTGGTCCGATTTGAATGATTCTTTCAGTGTTGCGTAGTCCATTTATCGAGGAAGGCTATAGGCTATATTTTTTTTTCAAAATTAGGGATCCATAATAAAATTGCTATTTTGTAACACAAGGTGTAAAATCGAAAACCTATTTTTGCGTGCGCTGCAAAAACTATTGACAATAGAACAAAATGATGTACTACGGGTTTGTAGATCCCATTAAGACCTACAAAAAAGTCCGCGAGAACATATATCTAGCTATTGTGTTCAAAATAATTATTAAATCGTCTGAAGAAAAAAAAACTACGTTGAATATCTATCGTAATATTAATCTTTATCGAAATTAAGCATTATGTTATCAAGAGTATTTATGTAGAAGTAAAATACTTTTTGTTTCATCTCAATCGGATATTTAGTTTAAAAGTTATCACGTCTGTAAGATGTTAAGAGTTGGTACCTATATATTTTATCTCGGTATTTCCACGGAAACGAGAAAAACGTGGGTGATACCGCGGGGCACGGCTAGTAAAAAAAATATAACGCTAAACTTTATATACATTCCGTTTTTCTTATGTACGAAATACATAAAAAAGTTTTTTTATGAAGTCAACATAACAAACATATGTGCGACGTATTTTGCTTTATCCAGTGTAATCTATATATATCTAATAGGAATATTAAAGGTTTATTTTATGAAAAAGATCTCACCTTTGTGTTTCGATGGTTCTGTTCGTAAGATAGTTATTATATATCATTGACTCGCCCTTGCTTGATATGATCCGACTTTATAATAACAGGTATACAGTCAAAGTATCACACACGTATAATTCAATTAATAAACTGCTCAAAAATATAATAGGAGTAGAAAAAACTGGTACAAAATATCGGTTTTCTGTGATAAGAACTAGGGTGAAATATAAATTTTTCCTTGTAAAAAATATTGGCCTTCCGTTCCCGAGGACATGACACTGTGGTATAGTTGGGTTCCTTTTGGTTGTCACTTGATACGCGTTAATGTTGGACTGCTCTTCTATCGGTCACTTGATATTTTTGGTTAGTAATAATATCGATACAAAAACGACGTCTTTATTTTTTTTATTTATTTAGTTAAACATCATTGCCATACATATGCAAACGGCGGACTTAATGCCATAAGCATTCTCTACCAGTCAACCTGAACGAGTGTTAGAGACAAATGGTATGGCGATAGGGCAAAATGCTTTATAATGAAAAATTTAGAAAATAACAGCGATTAAAATATATTAATATTTTTATACTAAAGGTACACCTACATAAACTATACAAATAAAATACATAAATAATTATATACATACATAGCGAGAAGCACGGGACAATCGAACAAGTACACCGCATTGTCGATATTATAGGTGGATGTCTCGAAAACAAATTATACTGCTCTGCAATCTTCCTAGATGTAAGCTAAGCATTCGACAAGGTTTGGCACGAGGGTCTGATGTTCAAACTTAAGCAAATGCTTCCGCACTGTTTTTTCCACATTTTAAATTCTTACCTTAACAAAAGAAGCTACCAGGTGAAATGCAACGATGAGCTTTCTGATCTACATGAAATTAAATCAGGTGTCCCACAAGGCAGCATACTGCGACCCATCTTGTACCTAATATTCACCGCAGATATCCCGACATCTGATAATTTATATTATCAGATTTTTTTGCAAGTGAAGCAGTTTTTGGGTCACTGTGAGTAGCTAGCAATGCGGTATCGTCAGCGTATGTAGCAGTTGTTATCAACTGCTACATACGCTGACGATACCGCATATACGCACGTTACATTTGCTTTAAGAAAAGAAACTTGTCCCCCCGTAAAATTAAACAATAGAGATATACCACAAGCAGACAATGCAAAATATCTAGGAATGCATCTGGACACGGGACTCACGTGGCAAAAGCATATCTGGACTAAGAGAAAACAACTCGATGGAAAACTCCGCAGTTACAGCTGGCTTATTGGCCGAAACTCACAGCTAAACGACAGCAGCAAAATGCTTATATACAAAGCAATATTGAAACCAATATGGACATACGGCATACAACTATGGGGAACCGCTAGCAATAGTAACATAGACATCCTGGAAAGATTCCAAACTAAAGCATTACGGACAATGTTCGGTTTCCCCCAGTGTATCAGCAACAAGTATATTTACTTAGACCTTAAAATAAACACAGTTAGGCAAGAAATAGCCCAGTACAGTACCAACTATCAGTCAAGGCTTGCTATTTATGTAAATGAACTGGCTAAAACACTTAGTGGAGGGGGTGGTATACAACATGCCCGTTTGAAACGACATGACATTCCGACTCTGATCGAAAGATTTACCAGCCAAAAAGAGAGTTCGTAGTAAAGGAATTCTACAACTAGACTTGGCTCTCGTGGAAGTTTAAAATGCCCAGATCTAGGATCAGCCAAAGAAATGGCTTATTGTTATAGAACAGATTGCCATTTAGCAGAGAAACAAAAAAAAAATATATATACATACATAAAATACAATAAATATAATATATAAATAGATACACACTATAAATAATAACAAAAAAAAAGAGATTGCGTAGTCAGGTCAGGAAGTGTTCACGCACTAGTTTTTTGAACTCCATCTTATTGTTAGAGACATCTTCCCATAATTTATACAGGTTGTAAAGAAAATAGAAACGTTTTCTTTGTTTTGTAACTGTCTCGATTTATTACTTATTATTAAGTTCTTATAACCGACTCTCGCTACGGTGTAAAGTATAAGTTCTTGTTCTCGGGCACAAATCACTAAAAATATTCGAAATAATAGTGAAAACCACATGATAACCAGTTAAGTAGTTTTAAGACAAAAGTAGCGAGGGGGATTATGTTAAGAAGCGATTAGTGATTTTAATAGATCCCACAGTGATTCTACATTCTACAGTACATACAATTAATACAAAATTATTATGTGCAGAAATACGAGCAATTGAAGCTGAACACTGTTGCAGTTTATTTTTAATTTATTCTTTCATGAAATTTGTAAATAAAATTGAATTAAAAGACGCTGCCAACACTGTATTCCTATTAGACACTAAAAATCACACAGCATTTTGGTATTGATGAAATATGTTATGAGTTGCGAAATTCGCGGTTAAAAGATAGTTAATTTAACTAAAACTAGATTTAGTCCATACAAGATTGTCGAATTGACACTGATGTTTTGACATTATTCTATAGATTAAACCTAATTTTAATTGAACCAAATTTGATGTAATTGAGCTTTTAGAATTTCAGCCAAAGCTTCATTGTCACAAATCAATTTTATAAAAACTGCACTGACAATCCGAATTCATCTAAAATACTATTTTATTCCTAAGTTAAAAGGATTTCCTGATTTCACTTATATTAAAACATGTTACTCGATATTAATACGCTATTTAACTGAGTATTTCACTTGATATCAGGCAGTAATATAACGCGATTCGAAGTGTTTACCCTGCAAAGAACCCATCGCCATTTCAGTTCCGTGCTACGAAGTTGCGCGCGCATTTTGTTTTTAATCCACTTATGTTCGATTACATTGCTTCGTCTGTGTATAAAGAATCGTGATGTAAAAATTTTAGACCTTATGTTGTGGTTTTTAAAACATATTTTGAGAAGCAGCCTTTTTAAAATTCGTGCTTTTAAAGTTTTTATGAAGATAAGTTTAAGATTTGAGACACTTTATTTATCATTTGAATATATTTTTTTTATAGTCAGGTAGGCAAATGACTCTACCCCACCTGTTGTTAAGTGGTGATAAAGTCCAAACGCGAAGATAGCTGGTACAGCAGTTATAAACTGCTACACCAACCATCCTCACCTTGCCGGCCTGCAAAAAATACTTTTTCACGCCTCGTTAAAGGACTCCAGATTATAGGAAGGAGGGACACACGTGCGCGGGCAAAGAATTCCACTTACGAATAGTACGACAAAGAAATGAGTCACCAAATTCTTTTTTCGTGTAGGAATAATGGCCACAGTAAGTCGGTGGCGACGTAGGCCAGCGCGCGTGGTCCTCTGAGGAAATAAATTTAAAAGTATATAAAAAAAGTCATAATGTAGAAATCATAAAATATTTAATTTCTCACTCTGTACCCCAAGCACGAAGAACTAGCGAGAGTGCATTCGTATCGTCATGCTAAATTTTCTATGGAATAATTTAACAATATAAATAACTTTATATATAACTAGCGGGCCGCCCTCGCTTCGCTTCGGTGTAGAGCTGAAGTGTAGACTACAGTTTTTGTTCTCAGGCTTGTATTATACACAATGACATTCATCTATGATTCTTCTTATACCTGCATGCAAAGTCTCAGCCCGATCGGTTTAAAATTGACAAAGTTTCATACAAACTTTCATTCCCTATTTTATCCCCTTGGAGGTAGAATTGATCAAAATCCTTTCTTAGCGGATGCCTACGTCATAACATCTACCTGCATGCCAAATTTCAGCCCGACCCGTCCAGTGGTTTGGGCTGTGCGTTGATAGATCACTATGGCAGTCAGTCACCTTTGAGTTTTATATTATGTTTCTGTTTTTTTCGAACTAAACTCAAAAGTGCCAATAATAGGAAGAATGCCAATGATTGGGTCGTTTCCCCATATAGACTAACTTTGGCTTTTTCTATGGAAAAATCTAGTTCGTTGTTATGTCCGGTAGGGGCGCTGTTTGGATAGATAGATTGATTAAGACATTATTATAACACGAAATACATAATTACATAACAATCATAAACTTATTGTTAATTGTTTTTTTTACTTATTGTTTAACAAAAGCGTTATAATTAGCGGTCTTATCGCTAAGAGCGATTTCTTCCAGACAACCGTGAGTTTGAAAAGTTATACAGAGACTGTAGGTTGGGCTGTTATATGGCTTGGAATAAATAGTCACATCCATTCATAAAATCTACATGAAACCTATGTATTCTTATTTAATATATAAAATTCTCGTGTCACGGTGTGCGTAATTGAACTACTCCGAAACGGCTCTACCGATTTTCGTGAAATTTTATATGCATATTCACCATCATAACATCTATTTTATATCACCCTAAATATTAAGGGTTGTCCACCCTTAAATTTTTATTTGGTCAAAATTTTTTGTTTTTATTTTTTACTAGTGGCCCGCCTTCGCTTCGCTTCGGTGTAGAGCTGTAGTGTAAACTATAATTTTTGTTCTCAGGCTTGTGCTATAAACAATGACTTTATTTATATAATTACACGTGTTATTGTGAGTCAACCATAAAAGATAGACATATGCTGTTGCTTGATATTTTTTAGACAATTTTATGTAGAATATTTCCGTCATACATGATTTCTATGTAATTTTAACCATTAAGGCTGCACACTCTACGGAAGCTTAAAAAATGGAGTAACTTCTCTCGTTATCCCAACATTTCCCTTCACAACTCTGCTGCTATTGATTGTAGCGTGATGACAGTATACTATAACCTGCCCAGGAGTATGAAGAATAATTGTACCAAGTTTTGTTAAAATCCGTCGAGTAGTTTTTGTCTCTATAAGGAACATACACACAGACAGACAGACAGACAAAAAATTTACTGATTGCATTTTTGGCATCAGTATCGATCATTAATCACCCCCTGATAGTTATTTTGAAAATATATTTCATGTACAGAATTGACCTCTCTACAGATTTATTATAAGTATAGATGATACATCATACAAAAATACATACAGCCCTAAATTTTCACCCTTTTACCACCAACCCCTATGTTTTGATGGCGGTACGAAGTTCGATGGGACAGCTAGTATATACCTATAGATAAAATACTAGCTGATCCAGCGAACTTCGTACCGCCATAAAAATAGGGGCAGGTAGTAGAAGAGAAAATTTAGAGTTGTATTTTTTTAATAGGGGTGTGTAACGTAGTGTTC